GAGAGAGAGAGAGAGAGAGAGAGAGAGAGAGAGAGAGAGAGAGAGAGAGAGAGAGAGAGAGAGAGAGAGAGAGAGAGAGAGAGAGAGAGTTAAGTGAAAAAGGTATATAGAAAACTGCAAGTGAAAAAGTATATTGAAAACTGTCAGTGAAAAAGTATATTGAAAACTGCCAGTGAAAAAGTATATTGAAAACTGCCAGTGAAAAAGTTACGGGCTGCCTGTGGATCGGATACATCCTCCCCACGTAACTGAACTCGCTGAACTGTCGACAAAGCCAAAATGGCAACTCACCTTGAAGTGTACTTATTTGCCTGTGGACCGGATATATCCTGCCCACACAATCGAAATTAAGAGAGAGAGAGAGAGGGAGAGGGATAAAGAGCAAGTGATAGTATCTATTCGACAAAGCCAAATGACAACAAAAACACGTCTACGCACAACCTCACGGGCCGTTGGTGAATTATGGACAAAACTATATGTATCCTTAACTAGTCACAGCAAATATCCGATCCTCTAGAACAGATGATGGACGCCAACTTGCATCTGATAGCTGGTATATGAATGTTCGAGAAACGAAAAGGCGGACGTAGTCCCCTAGCTAGATAGGAAGCAAACATTAACATGAAAACCCCACAACTGGATCCGTCCGCCTGCCTTGACACTCCTTTGACGAGAGCTTCGAATCTCATGTCATCATACCTTTGGGGTAACGCTCTTATCATTGCCTCTTCATTCAGGTGCTGCAGAACCGCTCTACAAGCATTTGAAGCAAATGAAGCGTCGCACACTGCACTATAATAAGAATCAACGTACTGTACAACTCTCTTTCTAAAATCTACCGTAATTAGAGCCCAGTTTTCGTTGTCCTTGTGAATAGGGATGAGCAAGACGTCATATTCGAAAAGATTGACATCTTTCGTCCATCTTGTCGCCCCTTTACAACCCTGAAGTAGCAATTTCATGAAAAAGAAAGAAACAAAGTTGTACACTTTGGAAGAAGATATACGACTATCCCTAACGAGCAAGGCCAAGTAGAAGTTCACGACCTCGTCGTTCAGCTCGCCACCTCTGTCCAACAAGGTGTCCATGTCTCGAACCCTAACAACCAAGTTCTCAACTGGCAGGCGAGCCACAATCGTCGTTGGAGATAGGCGAGAATATACAAGGTTGTCCAACAAGTTCGACAACTCTCCCTCACTTCTTCCAACGCTCGGTGCGCTCATGTCTGCTCCACAGACCAACCAAGCAACACGCATGACCATGAGATGAATGATACCCTAACCGTCCAAGCCGCCCAGTTCTTTGCTTTTAGTACTAAAAATATTGTAAAGCTGAACTCCTCTACTCGTCGTTCTTTCAAAGTACGGCTCAGGTTAAGAAACTGGAGAAACTGTGAACTTCTGGTAAACTCTCATATGCAACTTCTTAACTCTCTCAGCACTCACACCAGCCGCTTTTACAGATTCCATTTCTCTTGGGGATAATTGTGGCACTCTCGTCTTCGTGAGATATTCCTTCGACTTTCTCCGTACAGCAGACGAAGGAGACGACCGACCTGTACAAAAGATGAAGAAACATAATTATGAATACAGCGTACGGCCGCGCTTCGCAAACCAAGGGGCAACGGGCAATTACCCTCATGTTCCATATATCCCTAACCGCTATCCACATGTGAAAGAACACTCTAGATGTTCAGCACTAGAGAGACCCAAAGTTAAGCAATGAAAGTCACTGCTTACCGGTCACAGCTTCTTTTCGAGCATGTCCACCATTATCGTCCTCGTATTCATCTTGAACTCGTGGCACCTCCTCCTGTACGCAGCTGACTTTCAGACCTAGCACTACCCTTGCTCCTTTGATATTCCCCGATGCAACAACGAGCTCCAGACGGGCTGGGAACTTGGACAAGTCGTCGAGGTCAGCGTTGACGATTCGAACGACCTCTTCAACAGAGGGACTAAGAGAGTCGGCACGCTGTTGTCCAACATCCTCATCGAGAGACAGTTCCGCGAGAGCTTTCCCGACGCCCGCAGTCTTGCCTGGATTGGAATCCACCACAGATGCGGTGGCAGCAAGGTCTTCGTCATCGTGAAAAAGATTTCGGGCGATGTCATCACCCAACGGATGATAAACAACCGTGACCCCTTCTTCTTGTTCCGACATGGTGACGTCTTTCTCCTCCACGCACGGACCTGACACGAGTATTACTACAGGCAGTTGTGAGGGCCGCATGTCAAGCGCCTGGGTTGAGTCGCCACAAACGAAATTGTCCACTGAAAGCGGTCTTGTGTCGATTCCTGAATACAACTGCAAGAGAAAGTCGTCATCCGTACCACCGCATCTCACGTCACGAGGAGAAGTCGCCTGCATTTCCACAGTCTCGTCTATGACGTCCTTATCCTCCGAAAAATATGTTGAGTCGGAGCCACTGGACTTGCTTTGTTGGTCCTTTGTAATCTCTCCCCGTGGAGGACTGAGATTCCACGCTGAACTTTTCTGGACAGG